GGCCTTCTGCTCGTACAGGAATTCCTCTCCTTCTTCCTCATGGTGAGATGCGCGGTCACCATGAGTATCATCCTTATTGAGGTTCTGCTGGCGCATTAACTCCATCATCTGCGCCATTTGTTCTCTTAAGGAGTTAACTTCAGCAGTGAGTTTACGGTTCTGCTCTTCTAGCTGCTCCATCGCTTTAGCCTTTTGTACACGGGTTCGAACCACAGGAAGACTATCCACTTTCTAGGATGCAAAAATGAATTTTATTACTTAAAATGAATGATTGGTGTGAGATAGATACACCTTAAGACAATGGTTTTAGTATCATCCTTAAAGTTTTATGCTTCACGGAGTACCTATACCCACTTCGATATAATGGTTCCTTCCCCATCATGGATTTGACAAGTATAACGAAGGTCACCATATACCTTAGGACACTTGTCCTTTCCTTGTGGATGGTTACAAATGTGCTCGAGGCCTCTTTCGCCTTTGTCTTAGAGATATCTAATGCCCCCTAGCATGAATGTGTTTATGGATGAAGGGTTTTATTAGGATGATGTGTATTCATGCCTTCCTTATGCATTTATTTTCTCTCTTGGTTTTACCATTTATGAGATGATGTAGGTATGATTTGACTTTGTCAAAAATTGTCTTATTATGAATATTTTGACTTAAAAATGAGTTTTATTGCATTTTGCTTTATTTTTTGTTTTATTACCGCTTTATCTCTTCTGTAGGTCAACTTGGCTACTTAGCTTACGAAGAACCTAAAACTAGGCTAGCTAAACGAGATAAATGTGGCTTATTATGAAAAGAATGGTTTTATTATCCCTTATCTCTTCTGTCGGTCCACGTGGCTACTTAGCTTACATAGAACCTGAAACTAGGCTAGCTAAAATGTAGACTGTCCGAGATAAGGATGTTTATTATGATAAGGTTTTTGAGATTTTATTTATTTTGTTGTTGTATGATTATGTTATGCAACAAACAAATGCAACAAACAAATGTACAAACAATTCACTCATCCGCGAACTGTGTGATGGCATATTTATCACGAGGTAGGGGTAGGGATGGCAAAACGGGCTAGGCCCGGCGGCTATTTTCGACCCACTGCACCGCTTTGGCCCGCCCGCTAAGCTCGCCAACCCGTCGAGCCAACTCGCGGACTGGCGGGCTAGCCCGCGCCCGCCTAATTAATAAAAAAATAATTTTTTATTGTAATAAAATTAATTATAAAGATAATATATAAAGTTAAAAATTTTAAAAAGAGAATTAAAAAAGTTTCATTCTCACGTAAAATATTCTCCTTCCCGAAATATAACCTTCTCTCCTCGTTCTCCTTATTTATCCTAAGTACTCGATTATATTTATCCTTATTACTTGAATTAAAGGTATAAGAATTACTCAACCAAGTATAATATGAAGTTTTATCAAATAAAAAAGATATAGGTATTTGAATTTTTCAATATAAAAAATATAAATTTTATAAGTTTAACGTTATTTATTTATATATATATATATATATATATATATATATATATAATTTCAATTTAATAATATAAATCAATATATTATTTTAAGAAATTATAATTTAGAACAATAATAAAATTTACATAATAATAAATAATAACAAATATATATATATATATATATTGAATTATTGACAAACAAATAATAATCTTATTATTAAATTTATTAAAAAAAATTATTTTTTTAAATTATGGCGATGCCACCGCCAGCCACTAACTCGCCCCTTGGCGGGCGGCCAAGGTCTACAGCCCGTCATGACTATATCGGGCCAGCCCGCGCCGCCCCGCTTTTGGCGGGCCAAAGGCGGGGCGGGCCAAAACGGGGCGGGCTGACCCGTTTTGCCATCCCTAGGTAGGGGTATCCTACAGAAAAGTGCGTATTCAAGGTGGTTCTAAATATCCTCACCAAGGCTAGGCCCCAAGGTGCCCCCATTATAGGGTCCCCACTCTCCCAGCCTTCAGACCATGCATGGCATTAGGGCCTTGTTAGTCTTTAGGCCAAAAGAGGAAGGTTATCACCTTGAGTGGTGGTTTCCGACCATACCGGTGGGTTCATGGCCCTCACTACGGCAAATCGTACGATGTCACTCACTCCCTAAGGTTATCCCACTTACCCCTGGGTATATGGGGAACTGTTGTGTGCAAGGGTTTGTGTACAATTGTTATTTCAAACCATTGCATAAAGTAAACATACAACAGTTATTAAAGCTAATCAGTAAAGCATGTTATAAAAACAAAAAAGGGTAAAGGCGTAATTTCAAGTTTTTATTTTCTAAACTTAGTCAATCACTAAATGGGATCAACTCTCTAGCGTCCCCAGTGGAGTCGCCATTTGTTTCCGTCGTCAAAAGAGGCGGTCAGAGCGACGCGATGGTTTTGATTGACTCACGTTTTAAAGAAGTGTTCAACGCCTTTAGGTTGTCTGATAACCGGGTTAGACCTAAAGGCGAGGTTTTCAAAAAGGGTTTTATGGAGTCGCCACCAGTGTTTTGACCTTAAACGCTGAAAAAGGTAAAAAGACAGTGGTTTTAGAAAAAAACCAACTTTGAGCATTACAACCAGAGTTGGGCAAGAGAGTTAGTTACGTGTGGGGAAGGTGTTAGCACCCCACAACGCCCCTTCGGGATTCCCTATGACAGACTAGCTTATAAAATGAAAACTAAAGAAATTATGTTTTTACCCTTATTATTTCATCTACTTGCAGAAATTAAATGTCTACATGGCTTTAATACTTAATATGCATACAAGAAAAGCTATAGCGGAAGCAATAAAAGAGAGTATGTGGAAGAAACCTCCGAAACAAGTTTTGTATTAATCTTTTGAAGATTTGAGGATGTTTTTGGCTATCCTCTCACTTTACAACGCCGCTCACCTCTCTATTGACAGAAAGACTCTAAAGTGTCTAAGAAGAGCACTGGAACTCTGGAAATGCTTCAGAGAGGTTCTAGAAGAGTATTTGGAGGTCTAATTCTGGTGAAAAGTTGTTGAAAACGAGGAGGAGGAGGTTCCTATTTATAGAAATTTGTGTCTGTCAAAACGGGACGACCGTCTCGCTAAACGAGACAATTGTCTGGCCACTTGGCGAGACAGCCGTCTCACCATTGCAAGGCGAGACGGCCGTCTCACCATTGCAAGGCGAGATGGCCATCTGGCCAATTGGGATGGCTGTCTCGGGCTTCTGAGCAGGATTTCTTTGATTTTTCTTATTTTCTATGTACAAGATGCCCTCATATCCTATCTATGGAGCCTAGAGGCTTTGTCTATCTTCTAATGGAGGTCTTCTAACTCTATTGTGAGGTCGGACAAGATTTAGGGTCTACAATCCTACAAGAATTAAATTCAAGAGGGAATTCAAATCTTTCAAAGACATACCCAAACTATTTTTCCTCTCTGAAGCTCCTCCAGACTTGGAAGAAATAAAGAACAAATTAGCAACTTTGTGTGCTAACAGTCATGAAGACTTTTCTCATCTAAAGCCTCTATGGAAGAATCCTATAAAATGGTTAGGCTCTAATATTATTTAGGACAGAGACCCCTTCTTATTCAAACGATATGAACCTCCTCGGGCATAATGGCGCCACCTCGGCTTAAAAGCCCACTCAAGTTCATATTTCCTATAAGAAGAACACTTTGGGGTAAAACGATTTAAGGGATCAAAAGCTTTCTGATACACAAGATCCTCATAAGAGGCAAGTGTAGAGGATACTTGCATCTAAGTAGGGAATGATAATAAGAATTATACACTTCAGACTTTCAGAAACATACCCAGACTATTCTCCCTCTCTGAAGCTCGACCAGACTTTGAAGAAATAAAGAACAAATTAACTACTCTATGCACTAACAGAGTCATGAAGACTTTTCTCATCTAGAGCCTTTATGGAAGAATCCTGAGTTCTTTGTTCAGTTACCCTTCAAGCTCAATGAGATGTTAATCCTACTAAGATTACGCATCCAGGAATGTTTCCATCAGAACCAACAAGAATCAATCTAATACAAGTTTCCTTTCTTAAAATGTTCTCTCTTTAAGTTTTCTCTTCTCTGAAAGTCTAAAGTATATAGTTCTTATTATCATTCTCTACTTCGATGTAAGTATATTCTACACTTGCCTCTTATGAGGATCGTATGTATTAGAAAATTTCTTATGTCTTAAATCGTTTTACTATAGAGCAGAGTGTTCTTCTTATACAAAATATGAACTTAAGTGAGTTTTTAAGTTAAGGTAGCAGCGAGGAGATTCATATCGTCTGGATAAGAAGGGTCTTTGTTTGAAACGATAAAAGAGTCTAGTCATTTTTTCAGAAAGGGATATGATAGTATGAGTTATAAGTGAAAGACGAGTAAGAGAAATTTTTAAAAATAAATAACCAACCACCACCAAAAATATATTTTAACTTATTTTTATTAATATGATTTTCAACATTTATTATTTTTTATTTATTTCATAACTATTTTTATAATCAATCAAATATTAATTTAAATAAAAGTTACTTGTGGGTATTTTAAGTGTGTCCCTAACGCAGACTCCTAAAGTCACTGACTGTAATAAGTAAAATCTTAATTTTGATAGAAAAAAAAATCATTGTACAAATTTGTCTTAAGAAACGTTAGACTTCGATTTATTATTTTTGAATTAATCATAAATTAGTCTATAAATATATATATATATATATATATATATATATATATATATATATATATATATTGTCTTTGTCTTGAACAATTTTAAATTAATAAAATTTCATAAATAATTTTTAAATGTTAAATATTTATTAATATAATTTTTCGGCTGTGATATTTTACCACGGAGATTATTTGAAGAATTTTTTTTAACATTTCAAAGAGTATATAAAACTAATTTTAATATTTAAAAACCATTTACATAAATTTATTAGTTGAAGAAGTATCTTGGTGTGCCTGTTCCTGAATTACACAGTTCTTATCTTCTTCTTCTCCGGGGAAACAGAAACAGAAAAAATAGTAACAATGGCGATTGCAAGAGAACAAGTATATTTCACGGCTTTCCTCCTCCTATTGTCTCTCTCAGAATTAGCATCCTCAAAGTCTGCCACAGAGGACCCAATTCCCGCAGAGTGGCCTCACCAGTTCCACGCGTTGATGTTCATGAACCGGACCGGAAATCTCCAGAAACTGGACTTGTGGTACGACTGGTCCAACGGTCGCAACTTCAACATCATTCAGAATCAGCTCGATCACGTTGTAACCTATGACCTCGAGTGGAACAACGGCACCTCCTTCATCTACACGCTCGATCCCTCCCACCCCACGTGCCAAGTCATACACGTAGAAGTGGGTATCCTCCGACCCAATTGGCTCGACGGTGCAACCTATTTGGGTCAGCAGCGAGTGGATAATTTCCTCTGCAATGTGTGGGAGAAGGTCGATTTCATTTGGTACTACGAGGATGTTCTCACTCGCAGGCCTGTCAAGTGGATCTTCTACTCAGGTACACACACCTCTCTTCTTCCTTCTTTTGAAATAAGAGAGTTTTTACTCCTTAGCTTATACACATTTAATTTTAACATAGAAAGAAGGAAATTTCATTTTCTACTTCATATTTTCTTTTCTTTTACAAATGCTTATGGGGGAATTCATTCAAAGATTATTATTCTCTATTTACTTGTTATATGGAGAATAGGGCATTCCAAAATGATGATTGAAAGATTAACCATTTTTTATGTGTTATGTAACTACTCTATAAGAAGATATTATTAGGTAAAGTCTCAACAAATATAACATAAAAAAAAATTTCTAATCACATTTACACTCCTTATTTTATTTTTCACCATCATAGTGACCTCCCTTATTAGGGTTATCAACAGTGTAAGTGTGATGTTTTAAAAACTTACAGAAGTACATATGTAACATAGAAAATGGGTGATAGTGTAATGTGTTTAAAAATAAAGAGATGTTTGTGTAGAATTTTGAAGAAATTAGGATCACAATGTAATATGAAAATACTGTAAGAATCTTAGTGTAATTTACTTTATAACGACCCGGTATTATTAATTTTTTATGTAAATTAAAAACTTCGAATATATGTTAGATAGCGAGATCAACTGAGACCATGGTTCCAACGTATAGGTTCAAGATTATATCTAATAATTTAATATGCTCAATTTAAGAACTACTATGATAGAGTATGATATCATCTTAGAGTTTAATTTGAATCTATCTTAAAATCAAAGGTTAACTAATGAGATAATGGCATCACCCCCACTTATAAACTCTATATAATCATATTTGTATGCCTCCCTTGTTTGAAACATTTATTTGGGCGTTTATTGAAGTTAGAATACGATTCGAATTTGATGGGTGCAGGATACACTGCTCACGTAATGACATTTGAGGTTGGTGCAGTGCTTGAGGATCCAAATTGGCAGGCTCCTGTGTATTGTTTTAGTGAGAATGAAAAGGAAAATAATAGCCCCATTTTAAGACCCGCTGTTCCTGGTGGTGTTCTTGGGAGTTTGATGAGAGGAATATCCGCTCGTGAAACTATGTAATTAGAATTTTGATCTACTAGCAGTGTGTTGGATGTGAGCTATGACAGTCTTTGGAAATTATGCTAGACCAAGCACCCAGAAATTTTATTGAAGTTTCTCTGTTTTGTGGTAATTATCGAATGTTTTGTTGCTTTTAGCTGTCTGTCACACTCTGGTAGAAGAGGCTTGATTAGTTGGTCTAAGAAGCAAGTGTCAACAAAACAAGGCTTGGGCGTAATTTAGCAGATAGATACTGTTGTAAGTTACTGAATTACAAAATTTAAATATTCTCGTTAGAAAGAATTATTCTGTAAAGTGTTGGTCTTCCATTCACTTTCGAAAACATTTTTTATGACTAATAGATATTAGGTTTTATATGGCAAGTGGATGAAGAAAGTGTAACCTAATTGAATGGATGCATGATTAGTGGAACCATTGCAATTCATTTTGCTTATGGTTTGAATAGATATGAATCTACATGAAGGGACGTGAATAAACTAGTGTAGCTTTCATGAAATATGTCTCTTCTCTACTCTCTTCAAAAATATATGTTTTGGAGCATATGGTGAGAACTTTTGTGTGATTGCATACTTTTCTACCAAGTTTGATGAGAGAGGAAGAGTTTATCTTGCAAATCAAAGACATCAAAAGGCACTCAAGAGCTTCAAATGGATTCAAAACCAAGTTCAAAAGACAATGAGTTCAAGGGGTAAGCCCCATTAAATTTTCAACTATGATCTAATTTGTTTGTTCATGATAGTATTCCATGATTCATGGTGCGTAGTAGACTATAACTATATGTTATGATTTAAATGTCGTTGTTAGAAACATGACTTTTGTTATTATGATTTAAGCCTTATGGAGGATATTATTGTATTCTAAATTCTAACTTTCAAGTAATACAAACGTGTGAAATATATAATATAACAAAGAAAACAAGTTAAATGAACAACTAGTACGAATAAAAAGAGTAATTATAGAAAATACACACAACCAACTACTTAAAAAAACGATGTCTGTACAACTCGCTCATAGAGGAGATCTTATAATACACAGTTAAGAAACCTTTTGTAAAAGATCAAGATAACTCATGCAAAGAGACAAATGAGCATCATCACATCTTTCTCTTTGTTTCTTCTAACTTCTTAAGAGTCAATTATTTATTTTGTTTGCATCAAAGAAAACCCCTAGTCCACATTTCTAAGAAATTTAGCTATTTATCACTGTTAAATCTTGGCAGTTTTATAATAGTAAATATATTGTTCACTAAGTCAAAATTAGTGTAGTTTGCTTTATAAGTAAACTTAGGAGAGAATATATTTATGAAAAACAGAGTATGGTATGATTCTAAGAAATTATTATTATTTTTAAATCTAAGTTACTTTGTTTTGGTTAGAAATAAAAAGGTTGTTCATGAATTCTTTCATATAGCATATGAGAAAAAAAAAACACAGATGTATCTAAATAGATGAGAAACAATAGAGTTTGTCCTTGACTCTAGTGTATGACACATAATTAAACTAATCAATTTTGTGTTAGATATTATTTTGGTAATGCTCATGAGTCTCACATCGCTTAAGAGTTAAGGCTAAGGATAGTTTATATACATCCTACTCTTTTAACCCATCGATGCGCCTTTTAAGGACAATATCTCGGATATGGGACACTCTAATGAGTCCCTAGTTGCGCCGGAGGCGGGAGAGGTCATTCCTAGGAGGATTACTAGAATGGAGACCTCCTCTTCACCTTTCATTTTGAATTTACTTAGTATTTTATTTTCCTAAGTTTTTCACTTATTTTCGCTTTTCTTTTGTAAACTCACTTTTTGCACCTCCTTTTTGAAGAATACTACCTCTTTTAAGTGGAAAAGAAGCCTTGGATCCATAGGATACATGCATGGGCAACTCAAAGGTGTAAGACACTCATTTTTCATGTCCTACACCCCTTTTTGGAGAGGAAGAAGCTTCATATGGGAGATTGGTAAGCTTGGGACAATCCAAAAGGTAGCACACCTCTTTTTTTATGTTTCCACACCTTTAAAGGTATTTTTGGTAGGCTAAGACGAATTTAACATATTTGGACCATGGAGACTCTAGCCTTTAGGTTTAAGTTAAGTTTATATCTCCTTTTGTAATTTCATCTAGGTCCCTCCCCCAAAAGCTTATAAATAGAAGGTTTCCCCTCATGTAATTAGGTTGAACATTTATGACAAGTTTTTGAGGTTTCTTAGAGTGTTTCATCTCTTTGAGTGTCTTATCTTGAACATTGGTTCAAGTGGCGATAACCACCACTTATCTAGGGTTGCTCATCCCCTAGTGTCGTGCCAACACTTCACCACCACCATACTTCTCTTCTCTTCATCTTTTCTTCTTTATTTCTTCACTTCATTTATTTATCCAAGGGGATGGTCCATTTTTTCAGCCCTTGTCTTTATTCTTTTCTAGTTTCATTCCATCTCTTCCTCCCTCCACAATCCTTGGAAATGAACCTTCACATCTAGATAAGCAACTATCTTAAGTTCCACTCGGAATTTTCCTTGAGTTTGCTTACTTTATTTCTTAAAATTTTGCACCTTATCTTTTTAAAATTCTACACCTTACTTTATTTTCTATTTATAGGCTTTTGGGGAAGGGACCTAGATGGAATTACAAAAAGAGACATGAACTTAACCTAAACCTAAAGGCTAGAGTCCCCATGGTCCAAATGTGTTAAATTCGTCCTAGCCCACCAAAAATACCTCTAAAGGTGTGGAGAACATAAAAAAAGAGGTGTGTTTCCTTTTGGGTTGTCCCAAGCCTACCAATCACTCATCTCAAGCTTCTTCTTCTCCAAAAAGGGGTGTAGGACATGAAAAAGGAGTGTCCTACACCTTTGGGCTGCCCATGCATGTATCCTATTCCCTTTATTTGCATGTGGATTTGCCTCCCTAGTTCTTGATGCAATGCCGTTGAGTGATAATATTATCATGAAGTAAGAGTGAAGAATACAACATGTAATCCATGCTAAGAGGTCGCTATATGTGATGAGTCATTATATTCTCATATTTTCTCACCTTTTTGTACTTATTTTAATTAGTGTTTTGAGTTTAATTGTCTGTTATTAGTGATTTTTTATTAATTGGGCTTCATTGGGCCAGTAATTCAGATTTTAATTAATTTGAATATATTTGATCTAATTTTTGCTCATTATTATTTTCAGGACAGTTTAAAACAATTTTTGGTTTAGAAGATTGGACCAGATGCCATGTCAGTTGTCCATTAGGATTAGGGTTTTTGTTTTATTTGTTTCTAATGTGTTTTGCGGGCTAGTTGGGCTCAAACCTAAAGGCAGACTAAGGTCTAGGGTTATTATGTTAGTGATCATGTAGGGTTAGAAGGAGGCACACGCATGGCAACACGCACGCGCATCACGCAGCTGCATCCTCCGAATGCCATTTCCGTTTTCTGCATTTTATATTCACGTTCAATTACTCTTCTGTCATTTTTTTTTAAAAGCACAATTTTTGTTTCAATTTTAATGATGTCTCTTCTTCTGCGTTTTTTATTTTTCCATGGATAGTTAAATCTTTGTATTGATTTTTTGGGAAGAATACAGTAGATCTTTGAGGTTTTGTTCTTCTATTTTGTTTGTTCTCTTAATTCTTCATCTTCTAATCTCAATGTGAATTATAATCTGTTTATGCTTAATAAACTGAAACCAATATCACAGTTTGCTTAATCTTGTGTTAGAGATGAAATTATGTGATGTATGCAATGCTTAATTGTATAAGGATAATTAGAGTTAAGCTTCACTTAGTTGGTTAATTTTGGGTTGGAATAAGGGTTAAAGCAAATTAATTTCGTAACCTAGGATAAGTGGCATTCAAATCAGGAAATCAATTGCTTTCTGACTGTTTTATTCAAATTTTATTTTTGATAATTGACTGTTTATTATTTCGCAAAACCCCTTTTCTTTTTTCTGTTGTTTAATTTACATACTCGTGTAAGAACATTGGCTTGATCTATAGTTCGCTGGGAGACGACCTAGGAGTCACTTCCTAGTATTACATATTTTATTTGTTGAATTTATTTGGTTGAGAACGGCATCGATCAAATTTGGCCTCGTTGTTGAGGAACTTGCAGTTCTAGCCAAGGTTCTCACACTAGTTAGCATGTTTCTGTTTTAGTTGTTTATGCATTGTTTATATGAAGTTTTAGTTGTTTATGCATTGTTTATATTAACTCCAAACTTAAAATAGCCATAACTTTTGCTACATAACTCCGATTGAGGCTAATATTTTTTTCAAATTCTAGGTAAACCATGAATTATGGGAAAATCAATACGCTAAAGCAGAGTGGGTGACTTATTTTTTCAAAATTCAACCATCTAAGACCTCTATTTCCACATTTTTCATTTTTTTTTTCATATTTTGTTATTCTTCAGTAACTTTTAGGTGTGTTTATACTGTCCAGAAAATTCCAAAAAATAAAATAAAATTAGGGTATCTTCTTTTAGGTTTTCAGCATTTTTAGAAAATTTTACATCATCATTTTGGCATATTTACACATACTGATTAGTTTTTTTCCTCCATTTTTGCATGATCTCACCTCTTGGTTGACTTTTTAGGACTTTTGGTTGACTCTTGGGGAATACATGAATTTTTGCATATAGTGCATGACTAGGAGAAATCCTGGCCTTTTACAACCTTTTGATCCTGAAATAGATAGGACCTTTCATAGATTAGTTAAGCATTCTAGGAATTCATCTCTTGAGTTCGTACCATTAGATAGTCTTAGTGATAATCCTGATAGTCCTGCATCCAATACACCTTCTTCAGATAATTTCCAAACTGATAACATGGGTGGTCAACCTATTGGACCTCGTGAGAGAACACTTAGGGAGATGGTTGCACCTGATTTTACATATGCGAATTTGTGCATTCAATATCCTTAAGAGGATGTTCCTTTTATGCTTAAAACTTGACTAATCATCCATTTGTTGCTTAAGTTTCATGGTCATGCAGGTGAAGATCCACACAAACA